ATTTCTCTATTGGATGAATTTGCCTTGAGGTTGTATCATAGGGGTCCTCCATAGTCTAGGGGCCTTCCATGGGTCTTTAGTGAACACGTGGCAGTTCACAGTAGGGCTTCATTACTCACTTAGAGCTGCACACAGGGTCATTGGGAGGATTTACTAAAACGTGTGAAGGAGTCTAGTATTGTGCTGAGCCTGTCAGAGGGTTCGTTAGGTATTTGTTAAGACTGAATAACTTCACATGAATTATTTTAAGCCATTGTTTTCTCACCTGCTAAAATAAACTTACCCTGTCGAGAAGGAATGGCACCTTCTATGTAGAGTAAGGAGAAAGGAAGGGGAAGGGTAGATATTAATAATAATAATAATAATAATAATACTTTTCAGATGTGCATCGTATTTGATGACTTCAAAGGACTTTCCCCAAAAGCTTATTTGATTCTTTCACCAGTGTTATGAGGTATTATCCCTGTTTTAGAGGTGAGGAGCTGTGACTTGCCAAAAATCAGAGAGATAACTCATAGATGTCATTAAAGCCTTTCTTTATGTACACCTTCGTGAAATTTGCCATGTTAGGATTTCAAAACTTGAAAAGACCTTACACCAACAGGTCCGTTTTTCCAGCCTCCCCGTTGTCTGTGGTAAGGGCAGTCACTGCAACCTGTTTCTAATTTAATCTCCCAGAGATTTTATGCACATACAAGCAAATATGTGCGTCTTCTCTTTCTTTCCTTTTTTTCAAGCTAATGACAGTACACTATACATACTGGTCTACGCCTTATTTAAAACCTCTGTTGTAAAATCCACATTGCATAAGGACATGTTTAAAATACACAAGTTAAAGAATACTACACCTATTAACACCTTGAGTACAAAACAGAACATTGCGGGATTGATTACCAGAGCCAAGCATTAACCCAGCCATGGAAAAGCGAGAGCCGTATGGCCACTTGCACGTGGAGGCTTGCTGAAGGTTCATGGAACAGCCTTTGGGTCAGAGCTGGCTTTCCACTTCCTGAGAGTTTACAAGATTCCCTTCCTAGGAAGCCGGTGGACAGGACCATGAGTGAGTCATGGGAACATAGGGCTCTTTGTTAGTTGAGACACCTGCCAGAATTCCAGCATGACCAGGAATGGGTGACTGGCAGAAACGCCCTCAGGGAGTGGGCTGTTGTGTGTTTTCTTCTTCTGATCTCACCATGGCCGACTTCCAGCTCTCGGGTGTATCGGCTAAATGAGTGCACTCATTTGGTTCATGGAGGGGAGTCTAGGAGCTTCATCACCGCCCGGTCAAGACAAGTTAAATACAGATCGGAACTCTGGACCAGAGTTACCTGGGCACTCTGTCCTCCAGCTAACAAGAGGACCCAGTGGCTTAAGTGTCTTGGTAATGGCAGCCAGCCGCACGACTGTCTACAGAGCTACAGAGGGCAAGTACTTCATTGTGGACTGGTTGCCCTTTCCATTGTGTATGTAGGTGTCTTCTCAGGGTCTTCCTTTAATGAGTGCCTTTTCCAACAACAATCAGTTCTCCAATTCTGTACAAACTGCATGTCCTATCATTCATTTCATTTCCGTCCTGACACTCTCCACGTGGAGTTAGCACAGACCCCGCAGGTGAAGGGCTCAGATCCACGAGACTGCCTCCACGTTAGACACTGGTCACAAATGACGTCTCTTGCACTTCTGCCCAGCATGCTATTAATTCGGAGGCCTCCCCTACATTTGATAATTTGAAAAAATGACTCAAATGATTATCAGAACTCGAGAAAGAGCTATGAGCCATCTCCTTAGCATACTAGAGACTCTGCTCTCATGGAAAAGAGAAGTTTAGGAGCTCTGAGCTAGGAACAGGGGCGAAAACCAAGTATATTTTTTGTTATATCACAAGTATCGTCCTATAAATCTCTTTATATCACCCAATATAGGATACTCTGTGTGTATTTGTTTGTTTGTGTGTGTGTTTTTTTTAATAACTTTTGCTTTGAACTTGGTTTTACTCTCATTTTAGTATATCCTTCTGTAGCTTCTTGAGAGTAGGTACAAGATATTTGAAAACATTTTTCACCTCTAGCTAATACTGTAACTCAGCAAGTGCATGGATCTAGCTGGGAGGTCACTTTCCCTCAGGATTGTGAAGGCATTGCTCTCTTGCCTTCTAGCACCCAGTGTTGCTGTTGAAGTCCGAAGCCATTCCGATTCCTGACCCTTTGTATTTGATTTGCTTTCTCTCTAAGACCATCTTCTTTTGGTCTCCAATGTCAAGAAATGTCACAACGTTATGCCCTCTCCTAGAAACTTAGAGACTTCGGACTTGTGAAATCGTCCAGTTTACTCTTTGATGATTTTCTTGCCTCTCTTTTCTATTTCTGGTGCGTCTGTTATTTGGATGTTGGACATCCTAGATTAGTCCTTTCTTTCCTACTTAAAAATATTTTTGCTGTGCTTACTGAGAGGTTTCTTCAGCTTTATCTTCCAGTACTTTGTTGAGCTTTTTGTTTTTGCTATCATTTTAATTTCCCAAAGCTCATTTTTGTTCTCATGGTGCACCTTTTGTATAACATCCTATTCTTGCTTTATGATTACAGTATCTTTTGTATTCTATCTGCTGTAAGGATGAGAGTTCCTCTTATTCATTTTTATTCAATGAGTTATAACCTGTACTTTGTTTAAGGTTATATGGCTTTATAAAATAAAGTAGGGAGTGTTTTTTCTAGTCTCTGGATGGCTTTGTGTAATAATAGAATTATCTCTTTCTTGAATGTTTGGAATTAATGTGTTCATGGATTTTCTTTTTGAAAACACCTGGATTTGATGCTTTCTTTAAGGGATTTTTCTAAAAAACAACAACAACTGATTTACTTTCTTTAGTGATTATAGTATCATTCAGCTTCTATTTCTTTTTTGGTAAAATTTGATAGTTATTTAAAAAAATGTATATTTTATTTTTTACAGAGAGGGAGAGGGATAGAGAGTTAGAAACATCAATCAGCTGCCTCCTGCACACCCCCTACTGGGGATGTGCCACAACCAAGGTACATGCCCTTGACTGGAATTGAACCTGGGACCCTCCACAGACTGACACACTATTCATTGAGCCAAACCGGTTAGGATGATAGTTAATATTTTTAAAGTTATTAATTTCACTTGTTTTCAAACTTGCTAACACAGTCATTTATAATAACTTAATATTTTAATCATAATTCTCACTGAGTCTGTCATCTTTTTTATTCCTAATACTTTTTTCTTACTTATTTTCCCCCCATCCTGCTTTGTCAGTTTGAAAGTCTTTTCAAAGGACCAACTTTTTGGCTGTTTTGATCTTCTTCATTTTGTAACTTTATTTTATATATCTGCTAAGATATATGTCTATAGTTTTATATCTATACTTATATATTCATAACTATATCAACTATATTTTCCCCATTTTTATTTTCATTGGATTTATTTCATTACTAATTTTCTAACTTCTTAAATGGATTTAATTTTTAGCCATTTTTAAAGAATTTTTAGTTTTTTGAGGAAACTCTATACTGTTCTCCACAGTGGCTGCACCAGTCTGCTTTCCCACCAGCACTGCACGAGGGTTCCTTTTTCTCCACATTTTTAAATAACCTCAAGACATATGAGAAGGGATTATGCTCTACTTTTTGTCCTCAACCCCTTAAAAGTAGATTTTTGTTTGTATATTCTAGATAATGGTTATTCATTTTGTTATTGGGCTGTATATTTTTTTGTTTGTTCTCTTTATGGGACCTTCTTCATTTCAAAGTTAAATTTACTGGTCTCTTATTGGTCTAGGTCTTCTGTAACGTTGCCTTTCAAATATAGGTCAAATAATTTACCAGGGATAAGGAAAATTTCAAGCAAAGGAGAAAAAAAAGTAGAGCATAATCCCTTCTCATCTGTCCATCACTCAGCTTCAAAAAGTCCAGTTTTGTTTCATCTATTTTTACCTCCCCACATTTTGTGGGGGAAGTAGTTTAAAGAAAATCCCAGCATCATGTCTTTCACCCGTAGATATTTTAGTTTTACTGATGTCTGCTTGATATATGAGTATAGAGAGAGGCATATTAAGACCTGCTATGGTGGATTTGGCTATTTCTCATTGTGGTTTTATCAATTTTTGCTTTATAGATCTTGAGGTTATTTAAAAATGTTTAGAATTATATCTTCCAGATGAATGAAATTTTTTATTATTATGGAGGGACCATCTTCCTTTCTCATAACCGCTTTTGCTCTGTAGTCTGCTCTCTTTAGCAGACATCAACATGTTGTTTTAAGTCCCTGACTGGATTAAGCAAACTGAATCCTCAGATAATAATTTATTTCAGGCAAGAATTTAGCGATAATCTCATCCTAAAATTAATATTCCAGTGGTTTCTCTAGAATTTTCATATCTAGATACAATAAGCAGGAGATGTCAGATGTCATCAACATCCATTGGAAAGCAAGATGGTATCCTAGAAAGGACACAGAATTACGACTTAAAAGTCATGTCCAACTAATTATCAGATCTGTGTCCAGATTCTTCCTCCAAATCTTAGTTTACTGATCTGTAAAAAATAAGTAATAGTAGTATACCTTCCTCACCCAATAACTAAGACAGTTTTTAAAAATAATAGATATAGCCCTGGTCGTGTGGCTCAGTTGGTTGAAGGTTGTCCCATGCTTGTTTGATTCCCAGTCAGAGCTCATGCCCAGGTTGTAGGCTTGATCCCCAATAGGCGGCGTGCAGGAGCCAATCGATGCTTGTCTCTCACATCAATGTTTTTCTCTCTCCCTCTCCTTTCCTCTCTCTCTAAAATCAATAAACATACTTTAAAGGAAAGAAAATAAACATCTATTTTAAGAAATAAATAATAGATATAAAACATAAAATGGAAGTCCTCAAAATCTGTACATTTACCTATATAACTTAACATCGGAGTTTCTCTTCTTTGAGGTTGCAGCCTTGTGAAATACATTTGTTGTAAAATATAGGTAATTTTTGTCTTTTCCTACAGGTGTGTATGTAATATAGACTGCAGTGGATACAGTTTTAACCCCGTGTGTGCTTCTGATGGGAGTTCCTATAACAATCCTTGTTTTGTTCGAGAAGCATCTTGTATAAAGCAAGAGCAAATTGACATAAGGCATCTTGGTCACTGCACAGGTAAAATTCATTCTACTTATCCATAGTCTTTTCTTTAATTTATATGTCTTTTATTTATACACTTTGATAGTGTTCCACATTTTTACATGAGAACTTCATGCTTTATTTTCTTTTTTTATACTTTTAAATTTCTTTATTACATTTCTATTTTAGATTTTTTTTCTCACTTATTTTTATCTTCTGAGTTCACAAACTATGCTTTTTGGTTATTTAGTTACGAAGCTGACTCTAACATGGATTTTTAGGTATGTTCATAGCTCTTGAAGGATGTCTTAAGTTTATAATGATTATAGCTGTTTAAGAATTAATCAACTTGTTAGTTTCTTAATTAGAGTAAAACTGTAAATATTGCCATCTTTTCTTCATCTTTTTTCTCTAGAGCAGTGTTTCCCAAAGTGTTGTACGCATACCCCTAGGGGTATGGGAAGAGTTTGGTGGGGGTACGCGTTGCACCATGCTTAGCTGCGCCTAATTCTACATTCTCATGAGTATGAGGGGTACTCAATGGTACAAAAATTATAGAAGGGGTACACATATGTCAAAAGTTTGGGAAACACTGCTCTAGAGCATAATAGTTTACTTTGTTTCCACATCCTCTCTGTAGTTTTTGGCCCTACATATTATGTGCTATTAAAAGTTACGGTGTGAAGTTATAGAATGTAAGGAAAAATGATTATCTTCAATAAAAATTCTTTTTGCTCTTCTTGCTTTTTTGTCATAGTTTAGAAGCCATAATCCCAACTAAGAATGAGTTTTTGTTTTCTATCCCTACTAGAGTTATTCAGGCACAGATGTTTTCAAACCTTCTTTCCTCAGTAAGATGCATGCGGGCTAGGATAATGTATTATTTCCTGGTAACACATGAGGGCCAGGCACATGCTCACGGACTAGCATTGTGCATTGTTCTTGCTTATTAGGTCTAGCCACCCTCCCCTACCTCCTTCCTTTTTTGCATTTATTTTTTTTTTTTATTTATTTTTTTTAAAAATATTTTTATTTATTTTGTACAGAGAGGAAGGGAGAGAGATAGAGAGTTAGAAACATCGATGAGAGAGAGTCATCGATCAGCTGCCTCTTGCACACCCCCTACTGGGGATATGCCCGCAACCAAGGTACATGCCCTTGACCGGAATCGAACCCGGGACCCTTCAGTCCCCAAGCCGACGCTCTATCCATTGAGCCAAACCTGTCCCGGCCCTTTTTTGCATTTATTAAAGGGATATGTTTTTAACTGATCTAAGGGGGAAAAATTGTAAGCCAAAATTTGGTACTTTATATTGGTAACAAATTATTTGTGTAATACTGCACAACTATATACTGCCATTTAGACTGCCATACTTCTGGTCTAAGCTACCAAATGATACCCAAGAAACTCATCTGAGGATTTCCAGGGGGGCATGGTAGAGGAAACCATTTGCTGATAGGTAGGTATAATAGATAGTCCACTTAGCTTTGGTTTCAAGGAAGCAGTTCGGTTTGTCTTTCATTCTTGGGGTGGCATTTAGAGTCTAGGTTGAAAGAAGAGCTTGGAGAGAAAAAATCTTTGTTTTTTTTCCCCCCTCAGAAAAACTGGAGAGCGTGGTTGATGATACTACCTGGAATTTCAAATTCAGATGGTTGGCCAAGCTTAAGAATTTTGTTAAATGAAATTCATGCAGATTTAGAATCCTTTGGAGTAGTTGGCCCTTAACTTTTATTTTGGTCCCCTGTGTAATGTTTCCATCCACACCTAACTCCACCTTCCCTTTTCTCCCCAACTGTGTACAGGAAGCTTTAGCTTGTGCTTCCCAGTGGGTACTTCATTTACAGCCTTCCCAGTCTAAATGCAGTGCACTGTCCGGGGTCATTTTTATAGTAAAATTGTCTGAGAACAAGCTGAGATTCTATATTTACCTTAATCTTGTACGTCTCCAGGGAAACTGTGGTAGAAGGTAAATCTTGAATCCATTGTCCCTTGGAGGAAGGATTAACTCTTTTTCTTCAGGGTGTGCATTATTTTAGCTTGCCTGAGGAAGACTTTTTTAAGGCGAAAACATTTGAGGTGCAGTCTAAATGAAATCAGTCTGTTTGCCTGCAGAGCGTGTGAACATCTGGGAGGCCCGAGGCCTGAGGCAGAAATGCCACAGTAGATCAAGAGAATGGAGGGGAATGTGAGCACGATAGTGAACAGACTTGGGAAGGACCCGGAGCATTTGTAATATTTGGGATTTACCTGATGTGACTTACACATCATATGTATCTTAATTTGAAAACGGTTTTCTCTTATAGACACAGATGACACTAGTTTGTTGGGAAAGAAAGACGATGGACTACCATATCGACCAGATGTGAAAGGTACTGAATCATGACTTTTAAAATTTTGGCCAACTATTGAAATGTGGTCACTAGCTGTCCTTAGTAATTCTATGTCTATTATAATGACCTTTCTAATATGGCTCTCTGTTACGCAATATACATTCTGCAGTGATTAGCTGTATAATAAAAGCCTAAGCAACCATTATGGTGGAACGACCAGAACGACCGGTTGCTATGATGCACACTGACCACCAGGGGGCATATGCTCACTTAGAAGCTAGGCTCATGGCTGGCAAGCGCAGCGGCAGTGACAGGAGCTTTTCCTGCCTCTGTGGCAGTGCTAAGGCACAGCAAGCCGAATGGTAAGGAGCAGTGAGCAGGAAGGCAGTAAAGAGTGAGGGGTCCCAGACTCTGAGAGGGTGCAGGTTGGAACTCTCCCGCCACCCCATGCAAGAATTTCATGCACTGAGCCTCTAGTTAGTTATAATATTAAATAAAATAGTTAAAGCACTTCTCAATATACAGAATACTTTCACATATATTTTTTTTTAATTTTTATTATGGTAATTATGGACTTGCAATTCTAGGAAATTATATGGAAAGATCCCTCACATTTGCTTTTTATATCCTCTTTTACTTCTGTAGAACCTACTATTAACACTTGCCCTCTGTGCACAGGTCTTTCAGCCTTGTTCCCTCTGCCTGGAACTCTTCTTTGCCTGTTATTCATCATTTCGGGCTCAGCTTAAAAGTCATTTCCTTTTGGGAAGTATTCCTTCACCCTTAAATCTAGATTAGGTGCCTGTCTCATATACTCCCCTACCCAAGCACATAACCTACTCTAATTATAGTTGCCTTTTTACTCATCTGTATCTCCCTCTAGGCTATGAGTCCAGTGAGGACAGGAGGCTGTATCTATCATGTTTGTGTTCCTGACATTTAGTAGAGTGTCTGTTCCATACTTGTCAAAGAATGGATTCAGCTCAAAGCAGCTGTAGGATTTATCTGCACAAAGTCTTACATGCAGTAAAGTTCTGAGCAGAGGCTGGGTTCCAGGTCCCTTGACCTCACGTGCAATGCTCTTTTACGTCTCATTTCCATATCCATTATTTCATTTTGATTCTCACAACTACTCTTGGGAAAGGACCCATAGGAACATCGAAGCTGAATGAGGTTATAGCCAGAGAACCAAAGGAAGCAGCTGGAAAAAATCATAAGACAGTTCTCAGCAAGAAAGAGCTTTTAAGTTGAGCTCCTGGAGGAGAGTAATCATGAAATGGAGCGTTTCACTGTCCAGCACGCAGGCTGAATTGGTGCTTTTCTTGACCTCTTGAAAAACCGTCGGTCACAACGGAAATTGCAGTGTTAGAAGCTTCGTTATAGATGTTGAAGGCACCAAGGATATGAGGGTCGAGCGTGAGGTGCATGGGAGATGGGTATGTGGCATTTTAAAAACTTGATTATAGAAAATATCAAACGTATAAAAACAGAATAATATAATGTACCCAATACTCCTCTTCAACAGGTGATCAGCATTGTCATTCTTGTTTTGACTTTATAATCCCATTCACTTGATTGTCATTATTCTTACTTTACTATTGTTTTTTTTTTTGAGGTATAATTTACATGCACTGAGATACACAAATGTTAGCTATCAATTTTGACAAATGGATACACCCCATGCACACTGTACTTTGTCACAATCTATAATTCCATCTACCCAGGAAGTTCCTTTGAGGCGTATGACATTTTAATGAGGCCATTTTTTATCAAAAGATATTTTCATACAGTCTAAAATTGAACCACAGTACCTTTTTATTACCAAGACATTTTTGCTTCTTTTCTGAGCTATACCTCACCCTACCCTCACCCTACCTATGATCTCTTTCTCTCAGTAGTCTCCTTGCCTGCTGACTCAGCAGTCCCAGAGAAATATTCCATTGCTTGGTGACTGTAGTTTATATATTCTAATACAGCTGATATTCTGATATTGCCTTTTAAAAATGGTTTTGGCCCTGCCGGAATGGCTCAGTCAGTGGTTGAGTGTCAACCTAGGAACCAAGAGGTCGTGGTTCGATTCCCAGTCAGGGCACATGTCCGTGTCGGGGGCTCAATCCCTAGTAGGGGCTGTGCAAGAGGCAGCCGATTGATGAAGTTTCTCTCTCATTGATGTTTCTATGTCTCTATCCCTCCCGCTCCTTTCCCCTCTCTCTTTTTCTAAAAACCAATGGTCTTGAAAAATTTTGCCTCATCTAAAGATAAGACTGAGCCAGTTGCTTAAAATCACCTTGAAGGAAGTCTGAGGGTGTGTGTTGTGGAGCGTGGTGGAGTCATGATGAGAGGATAGTTAGAAGGATGTGTAGGTGGACGGCACAGACCCCTAAAGAGGAAGGTTGTTGGGAGAGAGGATGGAATGCTGATCTGGAGGTGACTGTAGCGGGAGTGGGAGGAAAGGTGTTTTAGAAAGTAATGATATCTTGGTATGTCAGGGAGGCGAAAGGGATATTTTCTAAGGCAATGAGAAGGTGGATGCGTTTATTCACATTAGAAAAGGTGTTTCACCGGACAGAGTGGGAAAGCTAGGACAGGAAGAGTCAAGGTTGGTGTGAAAAATAGGAGATTTAGAAATGAAAGAGTAGTGGCAGGTGTTGGAAGGTGGGTAGGCATTTTTTACCTAGGTAGAAAATTCTTGGATGGGGTCCAGGAAGGCTGGGGTTAGGGAAGGATATGCAGAGAGACATGTTAGTGATGAAGCTTGAGGTGCTAGGTAGTATAGGGGAAGAAAGAAAGGGCTTAGTGTAGCTTTTAATGGGGGATTTGTAGAAATAAGGAGCCCCAGACTTAGGGATATGGTATTGGTGTACTTGTGGCTTTAGCACTTGACCTCCAAAATGCATGTCTTGGTTGTTGGTACAACTCCCTGCACTTTGTTTGGATGGTTTGTTGATGGGCCAGGATGGATCGCCAGTGGGACGGACATGCCTTTGCAGATACGCCATGTGGCGCTGGGCTTTCTGACCTCACGGCCCCTTAGAACCAGACTCTCCTTTGTGTCTGAAAACACTGCTGTTGGCGCAGGATTTGTTTCTGGGTGGGAGGAGCCACCGGGTGACCAAGTAACACTTTGTGTGGCGCAGACACACCAAACATTGTCCAGGCACCAGCGGCCGCAGCTGTGATTCCTGGAGCCTGCCTGTCACCACTTGCCTGAGGACATTGTTTACACAGGACCAGTCTGTGCCCAGCTCTTGCTGTGCGAGGCTCTGCTTCTGCCCCTGCTTTCTGGCATTGTGACAGCCTTTTTAATTTTTCCCTTTTGGAGTTATTAATGTACTTGGCCTAGAGAGCAGGTGCTTGGACATGCTGCATTCGTCCACTCCCTACACCCCTCCCAGGGTAGCTTGCTGGCATAGTAGTGTTACGGTAAAGTGCTTGTGCTCACGGGTCAGATTCGGTTCGCACCTACAGGCTGTGTGGGCTGATTTCTCGGCACCTCAATCATCGCATCTATAACGTGCTATTAATATCTGCTGCCCAGGATTTCTCTGAGTATTAAATACCACATCACTGAATTTATTATTGATGTTAATATGGGAATTGTTGATACTTTTGCTTTCTAGTTTCCTTGTTGGTAGCCTGGCTGTGCTCAGAGGTCCTCCTATCTATAGCATGTTCATTGATTCATGAGGAACCTCCGTAGGGCATTCACCATTCAGCAATTGTCAATTGAATACCTTACTATGGGCCAAGTGCTTTCACATGTTTGTGTTATTATTGAATCCTCATTACATCATGTTGTCCTCATGTTGTAGATGAAAAAGCTGAAACTGAGATTTTGTGGCTTGTGTAGAATGACAGAGCAAGGACTCTCTGACCCTAAACCCTGGCATTCTTTCCCTTCTATCACAGCTATTCCAGAATTCTATTCTGCTCCCCTTGCTTTCTTTCTTAATTTCCTTCCAAATAGGTAATCTACCATCAGCTATCATCTTGGCAAAATTTATTCTCTATCCTTGGTCTTTCTTAAAAAAATTTTTAATCTAATCTTCACCCAAAAATACATTTTTATTGATTTGAGAGAGAGAGAAAGGGAAGGGTAGGGAGAGAGAGAGGAGAGAGAAGAAGAGAGAGAGAAAGAGAGAGAGAGAGAGAGAGAGAGAGAACGAACACATTGGATACTTCCTGCACACACCCTGATGGGAATCGAACCCACAACCTGGGCATTGCCCTGACCAGGAATCAAACCCACGATCTTTTGGTGTACAGGATGATGTTCCAACCAACTGAGCCACCCTGGCCAGGGCTGGGCACCACTCTTATAGATGGTTGTATCAAACCATCTAAAGGATTGGACTGGGGAAGTTTGACCTTAAGAAAAATAATTAGTGGGCAATGAGTTAGTGGGTGAATAGACATGGGGGAAATCTACAGGAAGTTCAAGGAAGAGAGATTCTATTTAACATAAGAAAATTTGGTAATATTGAAATTAACTGTATCAAGTTGTGTTTCTAACCTCTGGAAGTATGCAGAAAGAAAACAGGCTTTCAGGGTTATTAACTGAAGGAATTCCTTCATCGGACCAGAGAACCTCCAGGGACCATCTCAGATCTGAGTTCTTTAGCTCATTTTCTTTCCAAAGCAACTTCAAGCCATATCTATTTTTCAGCATCGCTAATATCTATTCCGACTGCTAAACTCTAGCTTAGCTTTTTCTTCTTTTTTTAAAAAAATATATTTTATTGATTTTACACAGAGAGGAATTTAGAGGGACAGAGAGTTAGAAATGTAGATGAGAGAGAAACATCCACCAGCTGCCTCTTGCACCCCTTCCCCCCCCCCCCCCCCCACACACACACTGGGGATGTGCCCGCAACCAAAGTACATGCCCTTGACCGGAATCGAACCCGGGACCCTTCAGTCCGCAGGCCGACACTCTATCCACTGAGCCAAACCAGTCCCGGCTAGCTTAGCTTTTTCATTGTCACAAGTTTGGATTCTGTAGTGACCTCCTAATTGGTCTTCCTAGTTCTCTTGCCCCTTTATCTTACAGGCTGGTATCCAATTATTTTTTCCTCAGAGCTTTTTGAGTCTTTACATACTATTAAGTTCACTTGTTTAAAATGTGCAGTTCATTGTGTTCTTGTTATATTTACAGAGTTGTACAAGCATCAACATAATCTAATTTTAGAACATTTTCATTACTCTCCCAGGAAAACAACTCACACCCATTAGCAGTTATTCTCCATCCTCCTTAACCACCAGCCCTCTTGGTTAATTTTTTATATAAAACACAGCTTTCATTGTGTTATTCTTCATACAATCAAGAAAACATTTCTCGCGGAGTTCATTTCCCCCCATAATTTGTCTTGACCTTATTTTTCCAACTTTCCTTTATACCCTTCCCCAGTCTGAATATACAGATCTTTGTAGGTTCATCTATTACTTGTTCATGAGAATTGTGTCCTACCTTCCTTCTGTTTTCCACCATTCCTCTATACGTCCACTCCTGGACTAACTCCTAGATCAAGGTCTCCAGCTCTCCTAGTCTTCTCCCATCCCTGTCTTGGCAAGAGTCACTAATGATGTATCACTTTCATATCTAAGTGCCAATGCTCTTTCAGTTACTGAGCCACACTTCTCTTCCTTCTTCCCTTGTATTTTCAGCTTTTTGTTTGTTAATCCTCACCCAAGGGTATTTTTCCACTGATTTGTTGAGAGTGGAAGGGAGAGAGAGAAACACTGATGTGAGAGAGAGACATCAATTGGTTGCCTCCTGCACACACCTCGACCAGGGTCCGGGATTGAGCTGCAATTGATGTTTGTGCCCTTGACTGGAATTAAACCCAGGACCCTTCAGTCCACGGGCCAATGCTCTATTCACTGAGCAAAACCGGCTGGGGTTTGTTCAGCTTTTTGTGTGTATATGTTGATTTCCTAAATTGATTATAAACTTTTTCAGGACTGGGACCATGTATACTTTCAATAAATAACTTGTGTAGAATGGCTGAGCATATGGCTGTGCACAGAAATAGTATGTAAATAGAATGGAATGAATATCATTGGTACTGAGCATAATGCCGAATTTGGATTCTGTGACAGCCACAGACTTCAAAGTTTTATTAGACACGTTCATGTTTCATACAGCTTCCTTTTGTCTAGAGCTTAATGCCACATTCTTTGATTAATTCATTCAGTAAATGCTGTTGGGGCCATACTTTGTCTATTAATTCCTCAAAATACTGTTTTTAAATTAGTTAACTTTTTCTCATTGCTTTCATGGAGCTGAATCCTGCTAGCTTTCAGCTCCACATTATTCTTGAAAATTTCTGCTGTTTATAGGACTTTCTTATGGTAGATTAGCACATTATCACAGTCTCATTAAACTATCCAGTCCTATTGTCACATACCTTATAGGATTTTTATTATTATTATAGGCTGGTGCATAACCTCAGTCTCTATGGCCCCATTACATACTTCCTTGTGTGTGATACCAGGAAGGTACCATGTTCTGAGAGGTGTGAGGTGATAGGTGCTATGGGAGACACTGCTTTTCTCCTCACGCCATTTATGGCTCGATTTCAAATGTAGAATAGCACTTTTAGTTTTAAACCAGAGCAAGAAAAGTACAACTTTCCAAGTGTTAAGAGTTATACAGAAATGAGTAACACAAGTGTCTGGATTCTCAAAGGCTCTCACAGTCTCATGGTAGCAATTGATTGAAAACCCCCAAATATACAACAATATCATGTGTGTTGTAGTAGACAAGTAGGTGCTCAGGATTTCAGCGTCGCACAAAAGGGCTCGATTTCTTTCGTCACAGCAGAATGATCATTTGGGAGCTGGAGGAGACCTTGTGAGCCCTTTGAGGACCGGATGTGTCTTAATTCTTTTTTTTATCTCCCACTAGAGGCCTGGTGCATGAAATTCATGCATAGGAGAGAAAGGGGGAGGGGTTAGAGTGTCCCGCAGCCCAGCCTGCACCCTCTCCAATCGGGGACCCCTCAGGGGATGTCTGACTGCCAGGATCGGGCCTAAAATGGCAGTCAGACATCCCTCTCACAATACAGGACCACTGGCTCCTAACCACTCACCTGTCTGCCTAATGCCCCCAATTTCCCTTCCCTGCTGGCCTGGTCGCCCTCAATGGCCCTCCCCTGCTGGCCTAGTTGCCCCCAACTGCCCTCCCTTGCTAGCCTGATCACCTCTAACCCCTGCCAGCCTGATCTTGACCCTAACTGCTCTCCCCTACCAGCCTGATAGCCCCTAACTTCCTCTGTCTCGGCCTCCAACACTATGGCTTTGTCCGGAAGGACATTGGATGTCTGGAAGATGGCCAGTCGACCTGGTCTAATTAGCATATTACCCTTTTATTAGTATAGATTTTGATCTTCAGAAAAATCTACATTTTTAGTTCTCAGTTTTTTCTGCAGTTGGCACCTCTATTCCCATTTCCCTCTTGCTCTTCTCTCTCTCTCTCTCTCTCTCTCTCTCTCTCTCTCTCTCTCTCTCTCTGTCTCTCTCTCTCTCACACACACACACAGGCACGCACGCACACACAGCCTCCTATTTTACTCCTTTTTGTTTCCATTAACATTCTTCAAATTATATTAGCACCTTTATTTGTATTTGGGAGAGATAAGCCTTTGCTGTTACATGGGTGCTAGCTGGTTGTTTTAGAGTCTTGTACATGCAGTAATTATCTCATGTAGTCCTTGAAACCACATGATGTATAGGCCCTATTATGATTCTGATTTTGCAGTTATGCAATGTCAAGCTTAGAGAGAACAGAATGCTCAAGGTCACACAACTAATAATACACAGAATCTGTAAGCTGGAACTGTCAAAAGAAACGGCAGGAAATAGGAAATTGACAGGCCTGTACACATTAGGGAACTCTGGGTCCATAGAGCTGAGGATTAATGTGCCAAAAAAAAGTACAAAAATCCATTCTAAAATGTGTGGCTTTGTGAATGAGTATGTGTATGTAAGTATGAGAGAGAGAGAGAGAGAGAGAGAGAGAGAGAGAGAGAGAGAGAGAGAGAGAGAGAGAGAGAGAGAGATTCTGCTAAGTAAAATAAGCCAGTCCAAGAAAGATAAATATCACATAATCTTACTCATATATGGGATATAGTGATCAACGTAAACTGATGAACAAAAATAGATCCAGAGACAGGGGAGGTCAACCAAAGAATTTGTATGCATGCATATTAGCATAACCAATGGACAGAGACACTGGAGTGGTGGGGGCTTGCCCTCAGAGATGAGAATGGTGGGTGGGGGGAGTGGTGGTGGATCTATGAGTGGGGGTGCGGGGGCGGAGAGGAGACATGTAAAACTTTAGATAAAAATACCCCCCCAAAATACTCCCCATGATGTAGCAGTTCACTGAAAATTAAAGGTGTCGTTTCCTGGTTAAAAAAAGAGAGAGGGATGGATAGAGAGTATGAAGGAATGAATAGAGAATATGAAGGAATGAATATGATTGATCTTGAAGACTGGGTCCCTATATCTTCATCTATCCTGTTCTTTCCATTTTTCCTTCCTGACCCTTTTCCCATTTCTGACAGTGGAATTACTCAGTACACTTCCATTTTCTTCACTTCAGCTAAGTTTAGTTCAAACCAGTATACTTACATCTGAACGGCTGTTCATCAGCATGTTTATAACAGTTTTCTATGGATAGGGAGATCTCAGGTGATTAAATATCTTTTGTCCCCTGTATTATTTGAATTTTTTTATATTAACATATACTAAACATGCTGTATAAAAAGAATAGCAAAACTATTTTCATTTGGAAGAAAATCAGTATGCTTGTTAGTGTTTATTCCAAAAATAAACATTTTTCCTTAAAATTTCAGAATCCCAAAACTTTCTGCCATTCCAGTGTTCCTTGGCCCCAATTTCATAGGCCCTTGGTAAAGGATCAGAATACGTTGATTCTCCAAAAGCTAGTGGTATATGCAGCATTTCTCTGTCACAAAGATGAGCTTTTTCATAGAAGTCACATTTATGCCTTTAACAAAGATATTTAGTTGTGTGTTGTTATTTTTTATGTTGTTTTTTGGCAGATTGTTTTTAACCAACAGGAGCTCATAGTGGTCACATCCTGCAAATACTTCAAATGCTTTGAGTCTAAACAGTCTACCTGCTGTGCTTCTGGCATTGTGTGACCTTGATTCTTATCCATCCCGCTACTTGACAAATTTCCTTTCCAAATTACCCAGCAAGGGATGGATTTACTTATTGTCTCAGAACCCTTGAAAAGCCCATATTTCTCAATTTGCTTTTCATTATTTATTGACCTGGTTTATGCTCTTTTAAGATGCTAGTGATCAAAGAGAGGATGTTTATATTGGAAACCACATGCCTTGCCCTGAAAACCTCAATGGTTACTGCATCCATGGAAAGTGTGAATTCATCTATGCTACTCAGAAGGCTTCTTGTAGGTAAGTCGGTCCCTCCAGGTAGGAGATGAGATACTGTATTCCCGTCGGTGGTCACTGCTCTATATAAGGCAATGAAATGTGGATGAGCTATTACCAAAAAATACTGTTTACTTGCAGTGGAGGTATTTGAAAAAGCATCATTTCAAAAAAAAAAAAAAAGTTGGCAGATAATATGCAAAAACAGTGTTGTATTAGGATTTTGAGATTTAATCTTTTGAATATAATGTCATATATCTTCATATAAAAATAAGTGTGCCTTACTTCAACACTCTTTGGTTGTTAGGCAATCTGCCATAAGGTGGTTGAGGGACTGAGGAAAGTGTGAAGAACAGAGAACATGTAGCTCAGAATGTGTGCTAAAATAGACGTCTAAAAATAAGGGGACGAGGATGTAGAGCCAGGTGTGATGAGAGAGAGGGAAACGGAAACGGTGCAAACCTGTCTGCTTCCAGAGAGATTATGTGACTTGTTCACAGTTAGCGGCAAGTTACAAATAGAGTTGGGACAAAATTAGAGCTCTGGTTTTCTGATATTCAACCTACGGTAGCGCTTTGTGCTGTTCTGTCTGCCAATAGCACTTCTTAATGCTGTGGCCTGGGGCTCATCCCCTCCCTCAGGTTGGTCCAGTTCCGTAGACGCGGGGAGATGGGCTATTCTGCTCACTCCTGCCTCCTGAAGTTCCACCAGAATCCCTTTTTTTTCTTTTCTTTGTAAAAACATCGAAACATGGGGAAATAGTATACTTCTCTTTTGTTCTGTCAGTCTCCAAGCCAGTGACACTTTAAAAAAATATATATATTTTATTGATTTTTTACAGAGAGGAAGGGAGAGAGATAGAGAGCTAGAAACGTTGATGAGAGAGAAACATCCACCAGCTGCCTCTTGCACACCCCCTTCTAGGGATGTGCCCGCAACCAATGTACATGCCCTTGACCGGAATCGAACCTGGGAACCTTTAGTCCGCAGACAACCGATTTTGGCCAGTGTCTCTTTCTAAGAAGTCAAAGAGGCCACTTGAAATCAGGTCTCTTGGCTTCTGTACTCCTCTAGCTCCTTTCTTCGGACTCTTAAAAAAAAATACATATATATATATATATATATATATATATATATATATATATATATATTATTGATTTTTTACAGAGAGGAAGAGAGAGGGATAGAGAGAAACATTGATCAGCTGCCTCCTGCACACCCCCTACTGGGGATGTGCCCACAACCAAGGTACATGCCCTTGACCGGAATCGAACCTGGGATCCTTCAGTCTGCAGGCTGACGCTCTATCCACTGAGCCAAACTGGTTTCAGCTCTTCGGACTCTCATTTTCCTCCTGTCCTCCTGCTTTCAAAAACAAAACAGAACAAGCAAACAAAAACTTACCGTCATACTTATCACTTTCTAAAACAACCATTTCATTTACTTATTATGTGTATTGACCCTCCCTTCCCCAGCTGGAGGGTAACCAGGCCAGGGCTCTTTATTTCTTTTGCTCATTGATGTTTCCCCAATGCCCGCTGCAGTACCTGCTACATGTCAGGTGCTCCCTGAGGCCATGGGAGTGAATGGGATTACTGTGGAGGGCTTGTGGGGTGAAAGAATGGAGGGCAGCGTAGCCCAGATCTGCCTTTAATGAATAGAGGAGGAAAAAGTAATCACCTAGAAGGTAATACTCAAGGTGTTTTGAGAGCATAACTCAACGTGAGTTGCAGGAAAATAGTATCCAAGGGAGGATGGCCTGAACAATAAATGGCCTATACATTCTTTTTTTATATTCTGATTTTAATCTTTGGATTAAGCTTAACTGTCAAGTGTGCTACATATCTGAGACGGTGTTATAGCTCCCTGTGGAACTTTTTATTTCACTGAGCTTTGACTTCTGGCCATTAGCTTACCATGAAAGATTATTTAAAAACTCCTAAGGGACTTGCTCATATTATTGAATTTATTGCAGCTGCATCGCTGAGGATTGGTGTCCTCTGTCCCAGAGGGTTGCCCCTCTCTTAATGAGGACCGGTGAGATAAAGTTCCCTTGAATTTAGTAACAATAGAAACTGTGGGCCGGGACCGGTTTGACTCAATGGATAGAGCGTCGGCTTGGGGACTGAAGGGTCCCGGGTTCGATTCCGGTCAAGGGCATGTACTTTGGTTGCGGGCATATCCCCAGTAGGGGGTGTGCAAGAGGCAGCTGATCGATGACTCTCTCTCATCGATGTTTCTAACTATCTCTCTCTCTTCTTCTCTGTACAAAATCAATAAAATATATTTAAAAAAAAGAAAAAAAAAAGAAACTGTGGTTCTTTTGAACAGCTGCTTTGATTTTATTTTGTCGAGATTGTATTCTGTGTCAGTGATGTTACCACTCTCTTTTGTTTCATTTTTGGGGGGACAAGTCAATGGTTTTTTAGTATGTTTGCAGTGTTGCAATCCGCACAATGAATTTCGGAACATTTCATCACCCCAGGAGGAAACTCCATACCCGTTAGCTATTACTCCCAAGTTTCCCATCCTCCTCTGCCGTAGGCAGCCACTAATCTGTTTGTCTCTCTAGACTGCCCTAGTCTGGACATTCCATTTAAGTGGACTCATATAATATGTAGTTTTCTGTGACTGGCTTCTTCCACTTGGCATCGCGTTTTTAAGGTTCATCCATGTTGTAGCATGTGTCAGTACTTTGTTCCTTTTTATGGCTGAATGAATTCCATTGAATGGATAACACCACATTTTTTAATCCACTTCCTGATGGAGGAATATTTGGATGGTTTCCACTTTTTGGCTATTATGATTAATGCTGCCCTGAGTAATTGTTTGCAGGTTTTGTATGGATATATACCTAATTTCACTCAGGTAAATGCAGAGTGAAATTGCTGAGCCAAATGGTAACTCTGTTTATAACTTTTTGAGGAAATTTTAGACCATTTTCAAAAGGGGCTGTACTATTTTACATTTTCATTAGTATCCTCGCCAACATTTGTTAGTATCTGATTTTCTTTATCCTGGCCATTCTAATGATATGAAGAGGTATCTTATTGTGGTTTTGACTTACATTTCTCTGAACGAAGGTGGATGGTGTTGCTATCTTTTTATGTGTTTATTTGCCATTTGTACTTCTTATTTGAAGAAATGTCTGTTCAGATCTTTTGCCTTTTTTGCAATTTTTTCTTGAGTTGTTATAGCTTTTTATATATTCTAGATGTAAGTCTCTTATCAGATATATAATTTGCAAAAATTTTCTCCCATCTTGCGGGCTATCTTTTCACTTTCTTGATAGTGTCTTTATGTACAGAAGATTTTAATTTTCATGTAGTTTAATTTAACATTTTTGTTGTTGATGCTTGTGCTGTTGGTGTCATATCTAAGAAATCATTGCCTAATCTAAAGATATGAAGATTTACTTTTCTTTCCCCCCCCTGAGTGTTATAGTTTTAGCTCTTAGTTTTAGATTTATGATCCATTTTTTAAAAATATATTTTATTGATTTTGTACAGAGAGGAAGGGAGAGAGATAGAGAGCTAGAAACATCGATGAGAGAGAGTCATCGATCAGCTGCCTCTTGCACACCCCCTCTGGGGATATGCCCGCAACCAAGGTACATGCCCTTGACTGGAATCGAACCCGGGTCCCTTCAGTCCCCAAGCCGACGCTCTATCCATTGAGCCAAACCGGTTTCGGCATATGATCCATTTTGAGTTAATTTTTGTGTATGTTGTGAAGAAGAGGTCCAACTTCATTTATTTGTATGTGCTCGTCCAGTTGCCCCAGCATCATTTGTTGAACAGACTTGTTCTGTCCCCATTGAATTGTTTTAGCACTGTGTCAGGCATCAGTTGACCATAAATGTATGGGTGCATTTCTGAGCCCTCAGTTCTACCCCATAGTCTATATATCTACCTTACTATGCCCCCCCCCTCCTTTTTTTTTGTTTGCTAGGAAGTTTATAGCCCAATGTGACACCTGCTGACAAGAACCTCAGGGTTGGGATTGGTGGACTCACATACCCCTGTTTCATCCCTGTCCCCAGGTTTCTTTGCTATTGTTATAAATGCTTCGTTTAAAAAGCTTTTTATTTTTTGTAATGAAGTGTGGAACATGAATAAATACACTGTCTATGCACTCCAGATGTTTTATTAATCATTTCCAACTGAAGGCTGCCTAATTCATGCATTTTACTTCTGTCAGCTAACATTGTAAATTTTCTGTTAACTATCTTTTTAAAAATATATATATTTTATTGATTTTTTTACAGAGAGGAAGGGAGAGATATAGAGAGCTAGAAACGTCGATGAGAGAGTAACATCGACCAGCTGCCTCTTGCATACCCCCTACCGGGGATGTGCCCGCAACCAAGGTACATGCCCTTGACCGGAATCAAACCCGGGACCTTTCAGTCCACAGACCGATGCTCTACCACTGAGCCAAACCGGTTTCAGCTCTGTTAACTATCTTAAATGTTTCCTCCTGTCATATTATTATCATCATGGTAGTGTTGCCTTTTTATTTACTTTTAATTGTAATTAGATAATTTCTAAGATCAGCAACTACTCAACTGCTTATCTTCATTTCTATTATTAATAACTTATCTCCTGCCTGCATCTTAAGTGATGATATTATGTACACTGAAAAGTGTCTCAATTATAATTTGGTGCTATGTTCAAAGAACTGTAAACGTTTATACCTATTTATTCAATAATCCCATTTCTACGTATCTAGCCTAAGGAATAACACTAATATACAACAGTGTATTATACATTCAACCAAGATGTTTACCATACCTAATTTATAATTGTGAAAAATGGAAAATAACTGATATGTCTTAGAATTAGAAGTAGATACCTTAGCTCTGTTATAGTCACTGAATGAAATGTTATTTACCTATTTTTGAGTGAAGATTATAATAAAGACTAGCAACTTTAAAAATTAATGTGATATAATGAACCGGAGTGGGGGGTAAAAGCTCCATGTAAAATAGATATATTAAGAGTGTAAGAAAATCCACAAATGGCTTTTATTTTTTTAGGTGGTCGGAGGGCGCCTGATTTTCTCTGCCTGTTAAAATAGATCATTTTTGTACCTTTTAGTTTTAAAACCTAAAATTGTTGAAATTTGTAATTCCTTCCCTCCTGCCTTTTCAGATGCGAATCTGGTTACACTGGACAGCACTGTGAAAAGACGGACTTTAGTATTCTCTACGTAGTGCCAAGCAGGCAAAAGCTCACTCACGTCCTCATCGCAGCCATTATCGGAGCTGTGCAGATCGCCATTATAGTAGCTATTGTCATGTGCATAACAAGGTAGGTGGTGACCTAAGAGATAACAGGTGGGTAGCTGTCAAATTAAAGGAGAGCCTTGAAGCTCACTGTAAATGGTATAGGGGCTTTTAAATCTACCAGTCTATTAGGAAAAAATCCTAGGGTCCCATGTGGGTCTGACCTCTCCTTGTCTTGCCTCTTTGGAAGATGGGCAGAAACTCATTCTCAGGGTCTTGGGTCTGTCTGAGCTGCAGGTAGAGGGAGCATGAGGCTATTCATTGGCACAAAGGAATTTAGGGATCTTAGAACGGTCTGTTGGTTCTGAGCACTGCACTTGGGGACAATGATGGTAACAGCAGCCTCTTTGGAGTGGTCTGCACATGCACAGAAAAGCCATGCCGACCCGCAAGGTGTTTTATGTCCTAAGAATATACTTTATTTGTAGTAAATATAACAAGAAAGGAAGAAACCAGGAGTTAAAGAAAACTGTTTTGCTTCTTATATCATTACTAGAAGCCCGGTGCACGAAGATTTGTGCAAGAATGGGCTTTCCTTCCCCCGGCTACAGGCACCGCCTTCGCTCTGGCCAAAGCCACCTTTCTACTCCAGCTCTGAGCTGCCTTTCTGCCTTCCCATGCTGCCCAGAGGCCCTGAGCGGCTGGGGTGGTGCAGAACGCCTGCATCATCGCCATGGCAATGATGCAAACATCCCACCCCCAGCTGCTCGGTGCCTGCGTATACAAATTATTCCACCATTTTTGTTGGGTTAATTTGCATACTCATGATTGGCTGGTGGGTGTCATGAAGGTATGGTCAATTAGCATGTTACTCTTTTATTAGGTAGATCTTAACACTAATTCATTTTCTGGAATACAGTCATGGCTACTAAACTTTAAAATTCTATAGTACAACTAAAACCATTGGAACATATCATAACTAAGCCGCACATGAAAGGACTACTTGGACTGCAGTTAGCACAAAATGGGTGTTTCCCACGCTGAGCTGAAATATCTAAGTCAGAACTGACCTGGACATGAGAAAAGTCAAAGCAAATCAGGTTCATATTGTCTGTATGTTTCCCAGTCTCGTGCCTTGTCTCGCTTGCCTCTTCCTTACCTCCTTTAAGGTTTGGTTCAGAAGTTTCATAAACATCATCCGTATACTTTTCTGCCTTATTCTGGGCGGAGGAGTAGAGCATATCAAGTACAGAGATTGGCAGGCCAGAGAGGATTTATGACTCAACCCAAGGTCTGGATGGCAGCCAGACCTTCAGTAGTCTCAGCCATCTGGAGCTGGAATGATAAATCTAGAAATGACAATAAAAAAAAGTGTTTTCTGAGTAATAGATATTTTTCATGAAATTCAGGCACTAAAGCCAGTGGATTTTATTCTGTAGAACAGATGATCTGCCCTTTGGCAAGACGACTGAGTATAAAATTGGGCAGTAGATGAAAGTAGGGACATAATGATATAAAAAGTAATGACTGCAGAGAGAGAAGATAGGAAGGAAAACACACACACACACACACACACACACACACACACACAAACAGGCAACAGCAGGCCTGCCTGTGGCCACTTAAAATAGGCTCTCTGAGGTTAAGGCATTTGTCTGTGGTCACCCAAAGTAGTAAGTGGAAGGGCCTGGACTGGATGGAGTGCTGCCCATTTCTCTTCCCAATGAACCATCTTGGGAATCATATTTGCTAAGTGCGAACATCATGGGAGCAAGGTTCCAATTTCATTTTCAGGGTTTTGAAAGGGGTGGAGGTGGGATTGGTATAAAACTCCCCCCAACCCCCCCAGAGCATTACTTTGAATGTCATCTGCAAAATTCAGTGGGAGAGAAATATGAGGTCAGGGGCGATTATTTAGGACATTATATTTGAGTAAAGGACTAATGGAGTAGTAAATGATTTGGAAGGTGAGAGAAATAATTAAGGTGGAGGTAAGGGCAGATTTGAAACCCAGTGACAGTGCTATCTTGAAGAAGATCAAAGGATGTCAGAGTTGGTGGGAAGCAACTTTGGTTCAACCCCTTCATTCTAGAGAAACGAGGAAACTACAGCCCTGAGAAGGGAAGTATCTTACCCAAGATCAGAGAGGACATTAAACCCGTGGACAAATCCTAGTCCAGCCTTTTATCCAGCTCTACGTGCCTGTTCTCCGTGTGCTGTAATCCTCTGCTACTATATTAAATTATCTGGCTTGTAGTTTTCAAGTTAATATCCTCCAGTTTATACCATAGACCCATTTGCTGCCCTCACAGTATATTTTTAACTGTGTTACCATATCTTTACCACCCATGGGCCTCCACGACCAAAGGATCATCTCGTTGACTTATTATAAGTCTGTCCTTGAGGCCTGTCTTTTTATTTGGTATTTTCTCTCTTAGAATGTCTTGTTCTCTTGGATTTAGAATATTATAATTATAATTAGAGGTCCTGTGCATGAAATTAATGCTCAGGTAAGGTCCCTAGGCCTTGCCAGTGATGAGGGCCAATTAGGTTCCCTGCCTCCCCACCTTCCTGCCTCCTCCTTCCCTTGCTCCCTCAGCACCCAGCTGCTGCTGGTTACCCGCCATGTTCCCAGCCACCCCCTGGTGGTCAGCGCACGCACGTCATCGTGAGCGATCGAACTCTTGGTCAAACTACCGAGGGAACACTTTGCATATTAGCCTTTTATATATATATATAGATTACTTGGATTTGTCTCCTTTGAATTTTTAGGGACTGCCTCTCCCTTGCAGTCCAGTATGGAGCAGCTGCTCACTTATCCCATGGTGGCTCTTACATGCCAGGAATCTTCCTTTAAAAGGATGTTCCGGCTGACCCCACTCACCAGGACTGCATGAGTAACATTGTTTTCTTTTATGCTTGGAATCCGTTTTCTTGTTTTTTGACTCATAGAATGGCTGACTGGCAAGGACATCATCCTAGACAAAACCCCTTAATTTATAGATGAAAAAGCCATGGCCTCAGGGAATTGGAACTTTTCCAGATCATAGTGAATTAGTGACAATTAAAAGAGGTGTCGCTTGACTTCTCAACCAGTTTCCCCATTTAGGAAATAGCGATGATTCCAGCAGTATCTCAAAGTGTTTTTAATGAAGATTCGTGAGATAACATTTGTGAAAAACAATATACGAATTGGATTGTTACCACCAAGGCTTTTAAAACAAGGCAATGCATTGCTCTTTGAAAGTGACTAAAAATATGGAAATTTTGGAGTACTCATTATGCAAGACTTTCTTTCCATTCGATTATAAATTACTTAACTTTTTTTTTTTAATCTTCATCCAAGGACATGTTTTTTTAATTGGAGAGAGAGAGTGAGAATGAGAGAAAGGGAGGAGGGAGGGAGGGAGAGAAGAGAGAAGAGAGAAGAGAAGAGAGAAGAGAGAAGAGAGAAGAGAGAAGAGAGAAGAGAAGAGAAGAGAAGAGAAGAGAAGAGAAGAGAAGAGAAGAGAAGAGATTGCCTCCCATATGTGCCCTGACCGGGAATCAGTCTGTAACCTGGGTGTGTGCCCTGATGAGGCATCAAACCTGCAACCTTTTGGTGTACAGGATAATGCTCCAACCAGCTGAGCCACCCAGCCAGGGCTAGATAATAAATTCCTTGCTGGCAGAGGTTTTAGAAGTTAGTCCAACTCTTAAAATTTTATGTATAGGCAAAGAAGGTTGCACAGCTATTTTTTAGCAGAGCTCAAGCTCAACATTACTCATCTCAGTCCCTGTATCCCACATTGTGTAGCACAGTGCTTTGTGCAGACACAATAAGAGCTCCTATGTTTGCATTCTTTGGACAGGAACGATCACAGTTACAGCACAGTGAGAGTTATACCACAGGGAGGAACACGTGCGGTAAAATGAGACCGGAGTCCAGGAATTCCCCTTACCCACAGCATGGCTGTACTTTATTGGGTTCTGTGGTTTGCCCTAGCAAGGCGGTGGAATGTCTTGCAGTCATTGCCTAAAATCTCTAGGCATTTCCTATGTATTCCTATGGGAGGTTAAATAAGTATATTTCTTCCTGATTTCTCCCTTCATCTAAGGGGTGTCATTTCTCCTATCATGTTGGGGGTGTCAATGTTCAGGGAAAATAGAATTACTTTCAGGGAAAATATATGTTATCAGTTTCTGGCAGGGTGGCGGTGGGGTTGATTTTCAGGCCAGAGGAAGGGCGGGATTCCTCTTGGGGATGCAAGTCAGCAATAGACACCCTGAAAATGAATTGTGCACATGTCCAGACCCGCAACGTATATCTAACCCTCCACCTCCCCACTTTATCGGGAAGATAGCAGTCCCACACATTGGGTCCTCACTTTGTCTTGTACCAACTAGCGTCCTGCTTCCCTTTCGTGGGAGGGCATGCAATACATTTTTTATGTGTGAAATGTGCATTACTTTGGAAACATTTGAGTATCCTAAACAAAAATGATATTTTTCTTTTTCTTTTTTTTTTTACTCGACAGAAAATGCCCTAAAAACAATAGAGGACGACGACAGAAGCAAAACCTAGGTCATTTTACTTCAGATACGTCATCCAGGATGGTTTAAAATGATGGCTTTTATATGTACACTGACCATGTGATGTACATTTATTATGTCTTTTTTTAAAGAATGGAAATATTTATTTCAGAGGCCTTATTTTTGGACATTTTTAGTGTAGTACAGTTGGCTCGTATTTAGAATATTCAGCTACAACAGTTTTGGACTGTTTAGTAGTCTTTGTTTTATGTTTTTAAATACAGAAATTGATTTCATAAATTTGTACCACATGGTAATTCTAAGACTTGTTCTTTACCCATGGGATGTAATATTTTTGCAAAGGTGGACCACTTCACAAATGGTTGTAAAGTCATACTCACTCCTTCCACAATGACCACAGCAAATGACTAAGCATGAGCTAAAGGTAAAGATGTTTACAGATTACTTTTCTTACAAAACAAATTTTAGAAGACACTGTGTTTAAATAGACATTTACATGTTTGGGGATTTAGTAACAGTTTTTTCTAGACACTGCCTATCGCATGAACTGTAAAGCCGTGTGTGTTTAGGTGTAAAATATTTATAAGATGTATGGACTGGAATTTGATGATTCCTTTCTTCGAAAAAATAATTCTGGTAACTCAAAAAACTATCTGGGAGCAGTGATGGGACAGATCACTGGGAAGTAGATGTAGACATTGTGAAAACAGTCTGTTTAACAAACAGACTGGAATAAAGCCTACCCTCTCAGTTAAACGATTTTAATACACATTAACTTTTAAAGAAAAAGATTTGCTTTAACACAAATAATTGTATCAGTGTTTGTGAATAAAATGCAAAAAATGATTAATGATTGGTGCTCTTCAAGTGAGCGTAAAAATTACCTAAGACCTCTATCCAAATTTGTCCCATAGTAATAGCTATAATAATATAGATTGTTGGTGTTTCAAGATCTGAAGTGCGAGTAGAATGTATTCAGCTGTTTAATGTGTAGTTTTAGAAATTCAGAAGTATGCATGTAGAATTTAAGATGTTCAAAATGGAATATTAATTTTAATATTTGATTTGGAAAAGCATGTCATAATATAGTGTTTTCACTATATGGCTTTCGTTGTGGTGTGTTTATTTACTAGATTCTTTGATATGTCAATGAAATGAATAGAAAAAGCAGATGTTTGCTCAAAAATTTCCCTTTGCTTTTTTGCAACGTCTCACCCAACATTTGGAGTTCGCTTTTTTTGGTCCTTTGGCTTCTAGGCTTAATATTAGCAACATGGTGGCTTCAGTGAGCTTTTTTGAAAAAAAGCTTTTCTCCTCTATCCACACGGTCTTATTTGGGTCCCTTAGTCAGTCCGTAAGCATGTTTGGAACAGTCCCCAGTGCTCTGCCAGGGCTCATATTGCAGAACCGTCACGTATGGGCATTTGTAGTTATAAATACTTGACCCGTCTCCAGGGGTGGGGCTTCCAACCCTTTAAACAGCCCCGTTGCCCGTTATCAGGCTGTTTGCTCTGAGTGCCAGGATTGGTGGTGGGAGGTCCTCTGTAACTGGGACACGAGTGAAATGGAACATAATGGGTCTGCTTCAAACGCTGAGAAGATCCACCAGAACCGCCTGTCGGCCGAAGATGAAGACCAGGACGCGGCCCTCACCATCGTGACGGTGCTGGACAGAGTGGCCACCATCGTGGACAAAGTGCAGGCGAGCCAGAAGAGGATCGAGGAGAGGCACCGGGTGATGGAAAACTCCATCAAGTCCGTGCAGATCGACCTGCTGAAGCTGTCACAGGCACACAGCAACACGGGCTATGTCATCAACAAGCTGTTTGAGAAAACCCGCAAGGTCAGTGCCCACATTAAGGACGTGAAGGCCCGGGTGGAGAAGCAGCACGTTCACGTGACAAAAGTGGAAACGAAGCAAGAGGAGATAATGAAGAAGAACAAATTCCGGGTAGTGATATTCCAGGTAAGCTTGCACTTGGGTTTACCCTGATGACTATTGCAACCCGTCGCCTGCTTTCACTGCCAACAAGTCCTAGCAAACATTGCCTCGGAGCTATTGTACATGTGCATGTCGTAGAATTCTCTGTCAGCATATAGTCTCAGGATCAGACCGCTTTTAAGTGAACGAACGTACTGTCAGGTCGGTATTTTGAGCCTCTCTACCATTTCGTGTAATACGAACTGTGGGCTGTAGCTGAGGCTATTTCTTGCGTTTGAAACTTAATATTGGGAAAGCTCTTTCAGCACGTTGGCCATCTTAGCTTGATGCCCTCACATAGGCTTTAGAACATTCAAACTGGGAGAGACCTAGGAGGCCTCTGGTATAAAACATTCTATACCAGAAAGAAGCTGAGGACCTGTAGCCCCACAATGTGGTTTGTTTTGTGTTTCTTATTATTGAGAGCCAGGAAGACCCTAAGCAGTACAGTATAAGCTTTTCAGAATATAATCTATTGGAATTTTTGCACACGAGTTACAATAAGAAACCATATTTTGCAATGAACCAGGCAATTGTTCTTATTTTTGTTATTATTACTATAGTTATACAAATGTCGGAGTCACAGAAGTGATTTCTTATATTTAATTACAAAGTCTTTTTACTTAGCTGATACAATAGTTTTTGTGTAGCATCACCTATTGAGCTAAGTTCCTATATTGCTGAAGAGTTGAATTCATATTTTTTTTAACTAGGACCATAATCCTGGCAAATGCATACTATCTATAATATAGTTTAAAACTATTTACAAATAAAAAAGAAAAAAGTTGAACTTTCATGGTAGAAAAATGGAAAAATCATTATCAGATAGTTTACAGAAGACAAAATAAAAAAAGCAGAATTCCACCTTCACCTACTTTCTTGCAGTTACCAAAACATAACATATTTAGAGTTTAAGGGTAGAAAAAAACAAGCACCTCACTGTTCTGCTACGGTAGTAGGATAATTAATTGGCACAACATTTCTGTAGGATAGTTTTATTAGTACAAATTAAGAATTTTAAACATTCACAAATCTTTTGGTTCAAAAAATTATTGTCAAAGATTTTGTTCTAAGTATAAAATCAGTAATATATTCCATGGTGCATACATACATGATTATCATTACTGTGTTTTTAAAATGGGTGCCCATATGCTTAGGAAAAAAAAACCCTAGAGGAATGAAAACAGAATGAAATAGGAGGGCAGTTGGATTATGTAGGCAGATCATTGTAAGATACTAGGCGTGTGGGCCATAACCTCCCACAGCATTCTCTACTCATTAGTCAATTCTCCAGAGCCCTGTCTTGACTGATAAGGTTACACAGTGGTATTTTGAATCTGTTGGTTATTTAGGAAGAAGAATAGGGAGGAGAGAGAAGTGTTGCTTATTTCAAAGTTAGATAGTTGGGACTATGTCATTTCCCTTTCCTTCCAGATCCCTGAAAATTCTTCTCCAGACTTCCTACTTGAAAAAAAATTAGTCACCTTAGCTTCAGAGCCTAGTTCCAAAGGTAGTGTATGTAACGGGGATCTAGATTTGGTGTTGGAGAATGTGGTCTCCGTTCTTCAATTCCCTCCTTTCCAAGGGTATTAGCAGTAATGGGCACACATCACCTCCACCCGCCAGCAAACATGCTTAGTGTCCAGCATGTGTCCTGAGAACCTTCGTGCCAAGATGGAGCAGGTGCCAGCCAAGCTATACAGAGGCCAGAGCACAGATGTTTCTGAAAAGTTCTAATGGACTCTTGTTTGTCTATTGACGTAATTCTTTTTTTTTTTTTTTTTTAAGTTATGATGTTTCTGTTTTTATTCACCATTCATTCCCTGTAACCTGCTATTTTTTCCCACTGTCTTTGAGCCCCTATAGTTACTTGAATGAATAGAAGATACTATAAAAAAATCGCTGAGAGGCACTAGTTAGGTCAGATACCTTTCCTTGGAAGACAGGGTGCTGTGAAGATTCTTGAAATTAAGTTTTCGGAGTAAGCAGCAGTTAGTCAACAAGTAGCCAACTACAATGGTAGAGAAAAGACGAAGGCAAATAACAGTGGACATGGAACTCATATTTGATGATTCATTAGATGTTAGAACACAATACAATATTCACATGATTGTTTTTAAAGTTCTTGTCATTCATTCTCATAGTTCATATGTGTAAGTGGTTATATTGAGAATGCTCCTCCTACTGAAATTAACTTGAAGCTAATTCAGCTATAGGATATGTGCGTTTCCATTTGGGTCCTTCCTCTAAAAGTTTTCCCTCGATATATCTTTTGGTGGCAACCTTTATTGGTATTTTATATCCCACAGTTGTGTGTGGCTGAGCTTTTACCCACACATTGGACATTGGCATTAAAAAAATTATCTATTTCTCATACAGTTATCATTTTTCTTTGAACATACTTTCACTTTGATGACCTTTTGATCATACAAAACAGGAGTCTTAGCATATGTTAGAACAATTTTGCTTACTAAGCACAAGCCTGTGGTCATTGAGTGAAATCTTTGCCATTCCCTAATGGTAAATTCTAGATTTCTATATATTCCAAATTCCCTTAGCTATATTACTGTAATATTCAAATCTGACCCAAAGTACTCGTTTTGTTGTAAAATTCATCTTTTTTTCTTTTTTTAAAAAACACACTTGGACTTTTACATAAAAACATGTAATAATCATATTTGGAAATCAGTTATAATCCAACCCCATAGTCTTCAATTATTATTACAGTGTGTTCACTACTCACTCGTGTATCTCTGACTCATGGGATTTACAACAAATGGATTCAAATAACAAGTAGTGTCCCTGACTCTATCTCTGTTTTCTGTTAAGTCTGCTTTTGTATAATTTGTTGTGTAATGGAAGAAGGGTATGTGATTTCTGAGCCCTATCTGATTTCACAGCAGGATTTTTCCCCTACCAGGCAGTAATTATTTTTTTGGCTCTTTCCTTATCTAATTATACCTTCTCAGGCCATACCCACCCACATGCTGTTGCTGAAGCTACTCCCTGCAACAGGTGTCAGGAAAAGAGGACTAATCTTGCTACTTTTGATTCATCAGAGAGCTATGAGACGCCCACCCTGCCCTTCTTTTAAAAGCTCCTAGACTCTCTAGTCTTATAGTCAAAGATTTTAATTTTAAATACATATCCAAACAAATAAGGTTCCAGGGATACTTCTTCACCATCTGTCTGGTAGGTTTTAGAATATATGTCAATGTGTTTCTTACATTTTATTCATTTTATTTTGAACAGGTTTACTCTGATACTAAGTAGGAGCACAATCTTAATTAGGGAATTTTAACTCGGGGGGTTCAGTAAAAAGTCTCATGATCTTCAAAGTTTTCCCTGTTTAGTTTTAGAAATAATCCCTAAGTAGTTGGGTTCCGTTAGCAGCTGTGTTTCTGGGCTGGTAAGATCACCAGTGTCCGTGTTCCCAAATCTAATTCTCATTGTCCTTGGACACATTTGATAGTCCCTCCCTCTGTTCTTGAAACTCCTTTTCCCTTAGCTGCAGGGAGGTAGGGATAAGGCTGCTACTCTCTCTTGGATTTCTTCCTGCTTCACTGGCTGATCTTTCTCCTCTTGGTTTTCTCATCTCTTCTTACCTACAAATCCGAAATCCATTTATCTATAACACCAAGACCTATTTGATTTAATAACTTTTTTGGCAGCAAGACCTTACTTGACCCAAACTTGGTCGATGACAAAATCTGACCTGAGATAGCATGAGGCTGGTTATAGTCTTTATTTTTTAATTTTTTATTTTATTGATTTTGTACAGAGAGGAAGGGAGAGAGATAGAGAGCCAGAAACATCGATGAGAGAGAGTCATCGATCAGTTGCCTCTTACACACCCCCCACCGGAGATATGCCCGCAACCAAGGCACATGCCCTTGACAGGAATCAAACCCAGATCCCCCCAGTCCCCAAGCCGACGCTCTATCCACTGAGCCAAACCGGTCTCGGCTGTTTATAGTCTTTAACCCACCTTAGAGTGAATATTCATATATTTTTTCCCCACAAAAATACTTCTTCCCAAGATCTCACTGGGAATGTTATATTTTTTTTTTCAAATCTGAAATATTCTGAATTCTGAAACACACCTTGGTCCCAAAGAGTTTGAATAATAGAATGTAGACGCATTCACACAATGTCTTCATGATAGTTTTAACCTAATCTCATGATTTCTAATTTAATCCTTATGTTAGTGACTCCAAAATGTTTATCTCTAGTCCAGACCTCCCTTTTAAAATCCCAACTTACATACTTCCAGCTGTCTACTCAACGTCTCTGCTTAGATTTCCAGGAGGCATTTCAGATCCATCACATGTAGATCTCATCTTTCCCTTCTGGTCTCTTCCTCCTGCTGTCTTGTCATCTTTTTTAAGGAAAAATCTGTCCTTCAATTGCTCAGACTATGTACTTGAGAATTATCACTTGTGGTCACCAAATGATAATGCTCTTTAACACTTACATCCAAATCTACCAGCAAATCCTGTTGCCTTCTATGTTCAAAGTGGAATCAGACCACTTCTCACCACCGCTGCCAACACCCTGACCCACTCTCACCTGACTTGTTTCAGTGGTCTCCAACAGTTCTCCCTGCTTCTTGTCTTGCCCCCATAGCCTATTTTCAACAGACTGATCCTTTTACAACTTGGGCCAAATCATGGCACCTCTCTCCTCAGAACTCTTAAAGGCTTCCTCTCACACTCAATATATTGGATACAGAGCCCTACATGATCTAGCCCTTCTGTTACCTCTCTTTCCCTCTCTCCTTCTTTTGTTGCCTGCCCCCTGATCACGTGACTCCAACCACTTCATCCACATTGCTGTTTCTCCTTCCCTTCCAAAAATACCCATTACCTGTAGGTCTGGGCTAGAATGTCACCTTATTACTGAGGCCTTTTCGAGCCTCCTTCCTAGTCACTGTATCTCCCCCTTCCCTGCTTTATTTTTCACCACTAAGCACTTACCACCATCCAACATACTTTACATTTAACTTGTCTCTCTCTCTGAAACTAAGCTCTTCTGCTCTGTTTTCCTCACAGGAGAAGGTCCTCAGTTCTTAGTGCATGGTAGGTGCTTAGTTACCATTTGTTGGATGAAGATATGGCCTCTTATTTATCCAACAGTCATCCTGGGCATAAAATATAAGAGACATCTTTGTCTTCATGCACTTTTCATTAAGTGAAAGTCCCTGGGAGACAGTTATAAATAAGCAGGGCTCCAATTTAATTCAGACTGTTGATAAATAGAGGTATGCATGTGTCATTTTGATGTAAATTGGAGACACAATTAACCTCTTGGGGAAATTGGGGACATTTGAACCCATTCATAAAGAGAGATATTTTTTTACGAAGGTGAACAAGAGATCAAGGGGTGTTTAAGGATGTAAGACCCACCTATACAGTGTTTGCATTACGTGTTGGTGGAACTGAGAGTAGCTGTGTGTTGCTGGACTGGGGAGAACGTGGCTTAGCTCAAACTGAATCATACTAAGAGTATTGATGAGCTCCTAAAAGTTTTAAAGTAGAAAAAGGATGTGATCAGAGCTATGCTTTAGATATATTTCCCAGGAAATACTTAGGTGATATTTTGGAGGTAGAAGTATTACATAAATTCAGGCCTCAGGTGACAAGAAACTGAATTAAAACCTTGGTAAGAGGCAGGGAAAAAGGAGGAGAGAACAGGTGAGTTATTAAGCAGTATTATTGACAGTACTTGGTGAGCTGTTAGATATGGGATGGGAAGGAGAGAAAATACTTGGGATGATGACTCTGAGGTTTCTAGCTGAGTGGCACCTGGATGGGTATGGATGCTGAGAGGTTCAGGAAGGGAAGTAGCTGTGGAGAGGATGATGAGTTAAGTTTGAGATACTCATGCTACTAGGTGGAGGGGGTCTGTCCATTATTTAAAAACGTGTCTTCATCTTAGGGGAAAGGGAAAGGTGGAAATATTTGTGAATTTGCTTATAATTGGATCTTAAGGCAGAGGCTTGGATAAGGTTGGGAGATGAAGAAGGAAAAAGGGCTAAGGAGAGAAGAACCTGGAGAAATACCAACATTTCAGGAGTAGGCAACCCAGCCCATGTGGCTCACCAGTTGAATGTTAACCCAGGAACCAATAGGTCACTGGCTAGATCCCCGGTAGAGGATGTGAAAGAGGCAGCTGGCCGACAATATTGCTCTCTCATCTCATGGATGTTTCTATCTCTCTATCCCTCTCCTTTCCCCTCTCTCTAAGAGTCCTTAAAAACATTTTTTAAAAAGAGAAGTGGGCAGAGGACAAGCAGCCTATGGAGGAGATTTGAAGGCACAGCAGAAGGTAAAAGAACTGGTCTCTAACATGCTTTCTTTTTCCTCCAGGAGGATATTCGGTGTCCAACATCCCTGTCTATTGTTAAAGACAAAAGCGTAACTGAGAATCAAGAGGAGGACGATGAAGATGTCTTTGATCCCCCAATAGAGCTGTCTTCCGATGAAGAATATTACGTTGAAGAAAGCAGATCCACAAGGTTTAGAAAGTCAGGCAAGGAGCGCATAGATAATTTCAAAAAGGCATTTTCCAAAGAAAACATGCAGAAGACGCGGCAGAATTTTGACAAGAAAGTCAACAGAATGCGAACTAGAATAGTGACCCCAGAGAGGAGAGAGAGGCTCAGGCAGTCAGGGGAGAGGTTGAGGCAGTCAGGAGAGAGGCTGAAACAGTCAGGGGAAAGATTTAAGCAATCTATTTCTAATGCAGCTCCCTCGAAGGACACGTTTAAGATGCGTGGCCTCCGGAAAGCTAAAGGAGGAACGGGAACAGTGGCCGAAGGGCCAGGAGAGGCCAGGGAGATGGGCGTGGACATCATTGCCGGGAGCCAGTCTCTGAGCCCCATCAGTGAGCTCTACGGCAATGAGCTCAGTGAAACAGACCATGAGGAGGCCAGGGTGGTGCATCCTTCCAGCGAAGAGGGGGAAATCACAACTCCTGAGCCTTTAAGAGTTACTTTTAAGCCCCAGGTGAGAGTAGAGGATGACGAATCTCTTTTGGTAGATTTAAAGCAGTCCTCATAGAGAGGAATTAAGTATATGTTCAGTAAATCACCTTAATCATGCAGTTCTAGTTTAAGTAGTATAGTCACGTAACCTTGATAGGCCATTTAGGAAACAATAAATGGTATGATTTTTATTTCTTATGTTTAAACTCTTAAAGGTAATACAAATATCATATACACTTCCTAGTAACTTCCTTGGGGCTTTGTTCTTTCTCTCCCGGGCTTGTAAGATTCTAGCAGCATCCTCTCATGTCATTCTCATGGCAGCTGTGCATTCATAAGTTCCTTTCTCTTGCACACCAGAAAAGTAGTATTCTAGAGAGGGCCAGTTAGGTGTTCAGTAGTTTAAGACAAGTGAAGGGCAGATTTGTGGCCATGATTTGCAAGTGAACTCACGATTTTGGTCTAGATTTAAGGGGGTGGCTACCCTCCATGGGGATTATGGCATCCACATGTTCAAATCCATAGATTGGCTAGTAAATTAGTATTATAATTGCACGTCTTTTTGGTGCTTTTGCATGAAGAATGGAGGTTCTTGATTGAACATTTGGTTCTGGGTCACAGCTGTTCATACAGGGAGCGCTTGGTATGTGGCCTGCTCGTAAGCTCATCAGCAAATTGGAGGGGGGAGACCTTTCCTGCCCATCTCTGAGCGACATTGTGAAGATCCAAGGAAATGCTGTGCATTCTGGGGTCACAAGACACACATCCAGAGGAAACGAGCCCTACTGATTTCTCAAACACAGAATTGGACTAATCACAGCTGAAAAAGTCCTGCCAGCCACGTGGTGGGGACGTAGGTTGGACAGACACTAAAGTGGGTGTTCAAGTCTTTTCACAGAATCAGGAATGAAAATAAATGCTTATGTGACATCTTTTTATTTATTTATTTATTTATTTTTTATCAAAGACTAAAATGAAACTATGGGCTTGAGTTGGATCTTAAGAGTTTTTTTTTTTTTGTTTTGTTTTTTTTTTGAAAAGTCTTTTTCTAATTTTCTTTTTATTTAGATCTGTGGTAGACTATAGCAACATTCATTTGAGGAGCCTGCAGCATAAGACTGTGGCTTCGTATAAAGCCAGCCCTGTTTGAGAGGGGAGGTGGTGTTTGGAATCAATCTCAGATATTTCTGTTTTACAGAGTGAAGCCCTCAGGGTGTGTCTGTCCAAAACCATACTCGTAGGGGTTCATTTTAGCTGCTCTGGGAGGAAGCCAGATTCCACTCTTAGCTTTAGACCTTGCCAACAATCCAGAAGTAGACATTATTGCTATAGAAAGATAGTCAGGGTCATACTGGTTCTGCACTACTGGTACTATTTAAATATCTGGTTTTGTAATGGGGAGGAGATGATGGAATTGTTGAACTTGATGAGTTTGGATAGCAATCAGCTTTCAGCTCAGTTTTGGGTGCTCATGTAATAATTGTAATCAATATACACACATCATAAACAAATACAGAATAAACCAACTTTAAGATATTTGACTCAGTTACCCCAGATGCTTGGGTTTGGGAGTTTGCCTCAGTATCTTTTCTTCTTCAGTCTGCATGAACACAAAATCATACGTGGCTCATCTTTTTATATTGAAAACTAAAGTGTATACAACGTTGAACAGTATAATGGATAATTAAAAAAAAATGTTATTTAAAGAGAGCTAGGATGCCTAATCACATATTTCCTTAAAGCCATAATAAATTTGAATTTTAAAAAAAGACATTTTACTAAGTTTGATGTCAGTGTCCTATTTGTAAGTATTGTTACTAGTAATGAATGCAAACAGTAAGGTGTGAATTTGATATAACAACCTTTCTTATCACAGGTATGTTTCTAGGTCAAGAAGAATGTAAACATAAGCTTTTTTTTCTTTCTTTCTAGCTCTATGCAGACTAAATCGCATTTGGGCTAAAACACTTTTCGGCAAATATACCTTTGTGAGGAATATTTGTAACATCTGTGTGCTTACTGACCCATTGTATAAACAGACTTGACATGCTTTGGAACATTTCGCATGTAGACATATTTGAATTTTGATGCCGAAGGATTTATAACATGGTCAGCTCTTCATCACAATAGTCGTTGTGCAAACTCAGAAACACTCAATTTTATGTTCTCAGGGGTTTATTGTGATCTTGTCCTTCATTCTTGAACTAGGATTTTCCCCTCCATGTCACTCTGTCTCTTGAATTGCTCCCCATGTGTAGGTCATCCCTCACTTCTGCATTCATGATCTTTACTTCTTTTCTTTCCCCTGTTTTCTTGATGTAAAGATGGCTATTTATAATGGGCTGCAAAGTCACACATTCCCACTTAATGCAAAGAATAGGCTGGTCAGTGTTCCTTGTTGTAAAAGACAACACAACAGATTTTCTGCTCATTTTACTCTTCTCTGTTTTTGAAATTATACACGTCAGGTTTTTTTAAATTTAAATTTTATTGATTTTTTACAGAGAGGAAGAGAGAGGGATAGAGAGTTAGAAACATCGATGAGAATCATCCATCAGCTGCCTCTTGCACACCACCTACTGGGGATGTGCCCGCAACCAAGGTACATGCCCTTGACCGGAATCGAACCTGGGACCTTTTAGTCTGGTCCCTGCATTTGAGCTTTTCCGCCGGTGGAGGAGATGGCCACGTCACCCAGCATCATTGTGCTGTGATAAGAGCCTCAGATTTCAGAAAGGATTATGGAGGCACGGAGGAAGAAGCATTTTACGAGCTGGGAGGGGTTGTCTGATAGCTAGAGGAAATGATACTTCAGTTGGCATTCGAAGACCAATTCGAAATCAGCTAACTGATGTAGAATTCAAGCCAAATTACAGCTGGAGAGGTTCTGTGTCAGTGTTTTGGGTTTTACATCAAAGACCATAAAAAACTACTGAGGGGTTTTAAACCGAGTGCCGTGATCGATGTTTTTGAAAAGTTGCTCTATTAACTCACCACAGGCAGGGAGACCAGTTACTTGGGCCCTTGCATTTCCAGGTAAGAAAGTAGTACCCGATCTAGTGCATTGACACTGGCAGAGCTATGAACAGGGTAAACTTAGATGTGGGTTGTGATGGGAAGCGAATGAGAGCCAGGTTTCTGACTTGGGCAAGTGGCTGTGCCATTCTCTGAGATTGGATTCTAAGATAACACTCCTGAGCCTCTCATGGCCTTGGTTGCTGGTCCCTGGGCCTCACCTGAGAAAGGGAAGCTGGGACCCTACTCCGGAAGGTCCCACGCTGGGGCCCCCCTTCTCTAGCCACTGTGCCTCTCCCCTCTGCTTGAAGAAAAGCCCGATTTTAACTGACAAGCTCCTCAGCCTCTCCACCAGCGCTCCAAAGTCCTTGAGAAGCAGAATTGCCTTTCAGATCCAAGGCCATTGTGAGAGCTTCCCTCTCTTCTCTGGCTTAGCTCAAGGCCAAGTTTCTGCTTGCTCATTGTGTGCACCAGAGAAAAGCTACTTCTGATTCTTAGAATAGAATTTTTCTCTTAATATCCATTGTTTGGCACCTGAGGATTCGTCATTGCTGTGCTTGATATTGCAGCTGACATTACAGAGAAAGCTGCTGTGACCTGGTACACTGGCCATGGCCAAGGCCATGCTCATGTAGCTACTTGTATCAGCCGCCGTGGTTGCAATAGGATTCTTTGTCTCCTTGGGGGTACTTTGGGGACTGTCGCGTTAGTCTGAGTCATGTCTTCACAAATGTATTAGGGGCTTAATGCAACCCATTCCTCTTAAAGGTTCTGGCTGATGGAAGAGTTATATAAGGATTGCCAACAAAATGGGACCAAAGGGTTGTCTTTATTACTGGCTGGTACATGTCCAGCAAATCCCTCAAATGTAGAACATCTGGTAAATTCTTCTGCAGAATGTGGCTTAGACTTAAGACAAGAGATAGGCCCTTCTCTCTCTCTTCTGCATGTTCTGGTGGGCAGTGTGCAGAGCAAGGTTTGTGGAGCAGAGCAGAGTCCTTTTTCTCAACTAGCAGGGAAGCCACCAGCCTGTTTCACATACTCCTCCAGGGGGAGCTGTGAAAAGGAGGGCAGCTCCCCCTGGAGTGACCCGGTCAGAAGGACAGGAAGCAAGGAAATGAGTTAGAGGGGCCGGGGCCTGGGCCAGAAAACCCACCACACCAGAATGTAGAGTCCAGTTTGAAGCCACAGCCTGGTTCGTGCTGCTGAGGCCCAATGTGCAGTTAAATGTAGCCCAGTGAAGGAGGCTGCCATTCCGGAGGCCTGCTGTGGGCACCTGGACCTGAGGGTGCTGAAACTTTAGGCAGCTTAGCATTTTTGCTATTTGTTTGTTTTATTAATCCTCATCTGAGGATATTTTTTGCATTGATATTTTAGAGTGAAAGAGAAAAGGTGGGGGGAGAAGAGATAGATGAGAGAGAGAGAGAGAGAGAGAGAGAGAGAGAGAGAGAGAGAGAGAGAGAACGAACAATGTGAGAGACACATCAATTGGTTGCCTCCTGCACATACCCTGACTGGGCTGATTGGACCAGAGATAGAACCTGTAACCAAGGTATGTGCCTTTGACTGAGAACTGAACCCAGGACTCTTTGGTGCCTGGGCCAATGCTCTAACTTGGCAGTCCTGGCTAGGGCTTAGGTAGTTTGACTTTGAAGGAAGGAGTGGATAAAGATCTCCCTGAAGGAAGGAGTGAGTCAAGTTAGCTAACGTCAAAATGAAGCTACTCTTTTGAACAATTCTTGGGCTCACATTTCATGAATTTTCTCATCATTCTGTGACTGTCATTACCTTTGAAAGAATAAGGATTCTCTATCCTCAGATACTGTCTGATTTCCAAACCTCCCTGATATAATCCACTTGAAGATCAGAGAAACATCATACATTGTTCTAAGCTTAAATTTAGCATTACAGCGGACACCACAGTTTGGATGTCGGTTCAGTTTCTTGCTTCTGCGTTCACTGAGCTATTCCCCCTGCTGAAGCTTGCCCCTGGCATCAATCGTGAGAAGCAGCCCAGTTATCCTGATAATCTCCTGGGCCAATCATAACATTGCTATTAGT